TAATTTGACCGTAAGAGATAGACCCTCTTCAGTTGTTTCATCTGCTGGACCAAATGACATTTCAGACACAAAGGCAACAGGCAACTGTGTGCTTGCTTTGTTTTTATCTAATGGACAGTGCTCGAAGACTCTTGGGATAAAAAGGTTAATTGGAACCGGGGATGGTTTGCCTGTAAATTTGAATTATGATTAATCAATTTATAAAAAAAGTAAAATTGCTGTGCTTTTCAGAGTATATGACTGCTGCCAAAACCTAATGTTGATAATTTTGACCTTGTTTGTCCTTGGCAGGTAGTAGAGATAGAAAGAGTTTAAAAGTGATTATCTGTCTCTGGAATTTGAAAATGTGTAAAATATTAACATATACATTAATAAAATGTTCTGAGCATATGTAGACATATTCCACCAGGTGCCCAAGCAATGCCATCAGTGTTTCAAGGCCTGTACCCATCGCTTTCATTTTCAGGTTTCTTTCCGCGATCTGGGAATATATGAAAGGTTAAACCTTTCTTTCCCATCATATGGTTCGAACAACCAACGGTAACACAAATCCTCGGGATTTTTCACGCAAATAAGTAAATTCTCAGAAAAATTCAGCGACTTTGTGAGCAAAGCGCAATGAGTTCTCAAACGAACGAGGGTTTGTTTTCACCAAGTGCAGTTGCCACCCACTTTGTTACAAGAGAAGTCGCACACGCCTGTTCTCACCAGACACCTCCAACCACATACGCGAACGCATACACTTTTCCTCCCAGACATACTCACATACTCTAGTAATCTCCACCCAAATCCAAAGTATACGCCTACATACACTAGGCTCACAACCTGCAGTGTTCCCACACCCGCCCACGCCGACACTGCACCCTCATACGCACCTGCATGCCAGCGCAGGGCGTTGTGAAGGGCGGGACGAAAAAGGTGATGAAGAACTGGAGTCCGAACATCGGCAGGAGGAAGGTGCTGGCCTTTACTGCTCTCCTGGGAGACAAAAGAAGAATTTCAATGATTGCGCTCGTACTAATACACGCACACACACACGCCCCCCCCCTCACACACACACGCCCCCCCTCCTCACACACACACATACGTTTGCATTCGCACATCGCTTAAGACAGACACACTCACCAGCTCATACACACATATGAATACAGAGATACACATACGCAAATATGCAGTTTTCAATACACTGAGACACCCAATAGTCTTGATAATTATGGTGATAAATAATATAAATGATAATAATAGTAATCATTATAACAAGAGTAATAATGATAACACAATAATAATGATAATAAAAAAATAATGAAAATAATAATAGTAAGACTTAAATGGCTCCGAAGTGCTGGGCTGAAACAGAAACCGAGTCAGGCAGAACAAGATCCGGCCTGAATGCGGATGCTCGCGGAAGGATATCAACAGCGAATGCCGAACGTCAGCGAAACTCGGAGAGACGGAGGACATCGATGGGACAATTGCAGCCAACTGACCGGACATCTTTCACAAGAGAGATAACGCTGTTCTATTCGTCGCCGCAGCAGCGCCAACGATGCCAAGATCTTTCTAAAGGAAGTTGAAAAGCTCAGCAAGTACAAGGACCTTGAGCTCGTGATCGGTCATATATGGAAGAAGACGAGAGTGATTTCAGGCGTAGAAAGAGCTCTGGGAATTGTGAAGATCGGGTTTCGAAAACATCTTGGCGAGCTCCCGTGTAGCGTAAAGGTGCTGTCACACTAGCATTTTTTGACAATTTTATTTAACATAAATGCAAACATTCTCAAATATAACTCTTGACTATGCTTGGCTGAAAAAGTTGACGTTAAGGTTTTCAGACGGGAACGATCATTATCGACTGACTGGAAAATCGACAATTCGCTTAAAATTGCCAAAAGTCCAGAAAATTGTAAAAAAAAAAAAAAAAAAAAAGACGGAAAAAATGCTATTGTGACAGCACATTAAGCACGCAGCGTGTACCAAACATTGCGTTGCTTCATACGGCCCACATACTTCGAAATGTCCTGGCCATCGGACAATTAACAATTAAAAAATACCTTAGAGCTCTGGCTGAGTTCTGGCAAAGCACAATAGAAACGATGATAATAGCAATAATATAATAATAACGATCATAATAATAATAACAATAATAATAATAATGATAGTAATGCTTGTTATCATTACTTTTACCACTATCTCTCTTATCATTACTACTATTATTATTACTAGTATTGACTACTATTATTATTACTTTAATTGTTATTACTATTATTATTATATTTTTTATTATCATCACATTAACAATGCTAACAACAACAACAGCAATAACAATATTGATAATTATAATGAGAATAATGATAATAATACATAAGAATATTAAAGATGATAATAATGATAACTGTAATGATGATAATACTAATAGTGATGATGATGATACTCATAATGATCAGTAATAATGATGGTTAAAATGACGATGATGGTATTAATGACAATATTGATAATGATGATAATAATAACAAATACAATAGTAATAACAATAATAATTATGATAATAACAGTATTAATAATGATACATGATGATAATCATAATAATACGAGTAATAATGATAATAGCAACAAAATAATAACAATAATGATAATAACACCAACAGTAATAATGGTAATAATAACAATAACAAAAATAATAACGGTATAATAATATGAATGATAACAATGGCAATAACCAACAAATTAAGACAACACACGTGATGAAGACAATAATAACTCACACCCTCCAGCCACCTCCGAACCTCACCATCAGCATCACCATCATAATCACTTCACGATTCAGCACTCACCACTCTTACCTGTTTGCAGTAGATGCGTCTGTGTTGGTGTTTTTGAGGTGAGACATGAGCACGCGGGTCATGTTAATTAGGAGAGCTGTGTTCACCTGTTGGGAAGGAGACGCTCTTATACTTAAGGTACTACTCTCTTCGGGGAAAGATAGCGATAACTGTATTTGTTTTCATTTGGTGATGAGTTTACTAAGCAGCTTTGGATCCTTCGGGCAGGGGTGGCAAACTCAGGGACCGCGGGCTACATGTGGTCTAAGGGATCGTCGGAAAGAATTATTAGTACGTGAATTTATGGTTGTCGGAAAGGAAAGTAATGTAAGGTTAAGAGACAGAAATCATCAATAACCTCGGCATTGGATATCCATGCGACAAATTAGACCGGTTATGTTTGGAAACATTATCATCATCATCAAGGGGGCTGACGCCGACGGGGGCGCATAGCCGCATCCACCCTTCGCTTCCACCTACGAGGATCCCTCATGGCTAGGCGCCAGACAGGGACTCGGCCCATCTCTGTTTCTTCACGGCAGGTTTGGTCGATCTGCCCAAGCCACGACTTCCTCGGTCGTCCCACAGGCCTCCTCCACCCAGGGTTGTATCGAACAGAGACGACCTGATGGGCAGGATCATCCTGAGGAAAGCGAGCCAGGTGGCCGTATAGCCTGAGTTGGCGATCACGGATTGTGCAGATAACAGGTCCTGTGCCAGTCTCACGGTGCAACCGTTGGTTGGACACATGGTCCCGCCAACAGTACCCCATGATCTGGCGCAAGGACCTATTACAAAAGGCTTCAAGACGAGCCTCCAAGGCACAGGACAATGTCCAGGTTTCGCTACCGTATAGCAAAACTGGTATTATCAGGGCCTTGAAAACCCGCTCCTTCTGCACAGGTACCGACATTTCCAAATACTCTTGTTGAGAGAGTTCATGACCCCTGCTGCCAGGCCAATCCGTCTGCTGACTTCATGGTCTGACAGCCCAGAGTTATGAATTACACTACCAAGGTATGTAAAGCTCTCTGTGACTTCAATGTCCTCGCCGCAAGCACGTACCGACTGAACAGGTTCTCCTAACAAGTCCCTAAATTCCTGGACCTTGGTCTTGGTCCAGGAGACCTCTAGACCCAAGGGCTTCGCTTCATTGCTAAATGCATCGAAAGCCGCCACTAGGGTTTCCAAAGACTCAGATAGAATGGCAACGTCATCAGCAAAGTCAAGGTCTGTAACCTTGATATTGCCCAGTGTTGCTCTACAATGACTTTGAACAGTAGCTCTGCCCAGTATCCAGTCCATGCAAGTGCTGAAAAGAGTTGGTGCAAGGACACAGCCTTGCCTCACTCCTGAACTAACAGGAAAGAAGCTCGACAGGCCCCCACCACACTTTACAGCACTTTCAGTACCAGTATACAGGCTTGCTATTAGTCCAATAATCCTTGTTGGAATTCCTCTCAGCCTCAGGATCTCCCAAAGTGACTCCCGATGCACCGTATCGAATGCCTTCTTGAGGTCGATATAGGCTGCAAGCAGCCCACGACCGAACTCACGGCGGCGCTCTACAATGACTCGAAGAGCGAGGATACGGTCTATTGTGGACTTACCAGGAGTGAATCCGGATTGCTCCAGTCTCTGGTGCCTCAGTAGATGGTCTCTGATACGTCTCAGAAAGTTTGGAAACATGATCGAGGCATATACAAGGCAAATCGATACCATTAGTGTCAGTGTTTAAAGTCTAAAATGTAAAGTAAACTTTACGTGCAGACAATACTAGAATCTTCAATAGTGAAAACCCTGGGAAGTCAGGGTTGTACCTTTGCTGTCCCTCGAGACGGGAGCTGCATGGAAATTGGTCTGCGAAGGGTTTTGGGTTCGGAACCCCTGCCCTACGACGCAATGAATTATGTCGTAGTTATCTAATCATGTGTATTTTTTATATGGTATATTTTATAGGCTTTATGATTGATATAAGTTATTATGGCTGCTATCATTTATGCATTTGTTATCATGCTTTTGATTGGCACTCACAACAATGTTACGTTCCTTATGGATTTTATGTTATTCCTTTATGGAACGCTTGCTTATCGCACTTGTCAAACATTTTCTTAACGATCACTGTCACAATGAAATTTTGAAAATTTGTGAATATATTAAAGTTAATGACAGTTGATCATGCTTTTTATGACTGTGTTACTGGCAATTGTTCCTGAATTAGATAAGAGAAGACTGATAAATGAATGATGACAATGAAAATATCAAGGCAAATATGGGCAACAAATCATATTATAATATAAAAACTATTATAAATATAATATAAATATAAACATATATATTATAAATATAAACATTATAAATATAAGCCGTATAAAAATTCCTCGATCAAAGATAAGGACAAAAAGAGAAAAGAAAACGGTATATCCCTTCGTAAAGATCGCTCACAGCGCCAACTCTTTTCCAACTCGTGTGAGGAAGACCTTACCGCCAAAACGACGAGTTTGGGGAGTTCGGTAATGAGGTAGAGGTCCTTCGCGTCGCCGTGGTCGTCGCCGAGCCAGCACTGGTAGTCCTCCAGGATGCCCCTCGCCGCCGCCCACGCCCCCGAGAGCACGAAGGGCGGCACTGTGGGCGGGGAAGGCCCTTCTTAAGGGAGGGGGTTGGGGGGAGAGGAATGAAGGTTCTGCTTTCATGGAAAAGTATTTTACGAAGAAAGAGAAATGTGACATGTCCTGGTAAGCCGCCCATGCCACAAGGTCCATAGGCGGTTGGGTGGGTTAATGGCTTTCTCTGGGGGAAGTGGCTCTATGGGCTCGTAAAAAACAGCTTTAAAGACATAAGAATGCGTCCATAACATTAAGAGACCGGGTTTAGTGATTTCAAGTCGTTTCATTATTTGTATACACGCATACACAACACACAAACAAACAAACAAACACACACGCACACGCATACACAACACATACTCACGCACGCACGTTCAAACTAACGCAGCCAAACAAACGCCCACGGACCAACAGCCAGAGTGAAAAGCCAGCCCGAGCGCCGCCCACAGCGCCCTCCTCACCCCAGCCCACGAGCAGGTACGCCCACGTCTTCCCGCCGCCCCTCAGAGCAGCGACGATGAGGCGGTGCAGGTACAGGCTCTCGGCGAGCATCCACGTCCACACCGCGAGACCGAAGACCTTCGTCAGGAACACGAGGAACCTGCAGCCGGCGGTGTTGTCGTCCATCACGCTGGATTCCTGCAGGGGAGAGGGAGGGAGGGTGAGGAGGGAGGCAGGCGAGGAAGTGGGGGCGAGGGAAGGTAAGGAGAAAGGGGGAGAAAGGTGAGGGAGGTGGAGGGGCGAGGGAAGTTAAGGAGGAAAGGGGAAGCGTGAGGGAAGGGGAGGGAAGCTAAGGGGGTAAAGGGAGGAGGGTGAGGGAAGGGGCCGGGGAATCTAAGGAAAGGGGGAGGGAGGCGAGGAAGGTGGAGACGAGGGAAGCTCAGGGCGAAGGTGAAGGGCGAGGGAAGGGGAAGGAGGCGAGGGAAGCTAAGGGAGAAAGGGAGGGAAGGTGAGGGAGGGGTTGAAGGAAACTGCATGGAAGAAGGAGGGAAGGAATCGGAGAAGAAGGGGCGCTATATAGTGCAGTCAAGTTGTGGTGCAACCTCAAATGAACTGCAACACAAACCAAATGTCGATCTTCTTACAGAATGAACTATTTTCCTAAACCATGGTGGAAATTCTCTAGATTTGGATAAGTGCGGGTACATTTGGACTCGTTGTATTGCAGTGGTAGGCAGCGCACCTATCAAATACATTTGATCGTGTAATCAGTCAAAAACATGCAAATACTTAAACTACAACCGGTAGATATTTTCTTATATATTTATTTAATCTATGACACAATGATGACGTCATAATGAACAGAGCATAAAAAACTGCATAAACGCCAAAACAATTTCATCAAAATTATTGGTGTAATTCATTTGCAATAAATCAGCAATCCTTACGTGAAACTAGAAAAAAATCAATGCATTCGCAACCTGCAGCTGATTGATTACGATGTCATAATCTACATCTTTTAAAAAACTCATATTTCCATATATTCTAACGCAAAAGTTATCGAGTGAAAATTTAATATTGAGCGTATTGTCCAATTGTTTAAGCATTAAGGTATAAAACCTGAATTTTTCTCGTCGATCATCTTACAAGAGAAGTTTTAGAATGAACTTGTTAAGATTACTAATATCAAATCAAATCCTAAATTAATGCTTATCATCATACCAATGCAAACAAAAAAATGGCATTCCAGCAAATTACTTAAACATGTCATTTAGATTATTCAAAACCAATATGCTTGCATTTTCACATCTTATCCACGACACTTCTGGCGCGTATGAAAGATCAGTTTTCGAAGGAATCTTTCTGCCATCTCTACCTGTCTGTCTGCCTGTCTATACGTGTATCAGATGCTTACACGAGCTTATCTTGTAACAATTTCTCTCCATCTACATATCTTCCTGTTCCTCCAAATACACACTCAGGCATCGTGTACAATGCCGAGAGAGACGCCTACCTAGAGTTGGTGGATTTCGTTGTCGAGGATATAGGAGGAAGTATCAGTGGGCTGATTTACTAGAAAAGCTTTACCACAAAGGACGCTGTAATGCATAGCATCAATTCCTTCACCTTCCTTTCCTTTGTAAAGGCAAGCGAGGGCGCTCTCACCACGAGAGGCTATTTCCTCGGGGGTTCCAGACTGCCTGCTGCTGGAAATGTTTGTTTTCCTAGAAGGTCTTCAGGGAAAACCCTTTTCCAATGCCATAGAGTCCGGGCGTTGTGTTACACCCAAGAATATCATGAAGAAAATGAATATTATTTCATATATTTGAACCTAGTGATACCTTACACACCTTGATATCCCGAACGTTTAACATTTGGCGCATAGCTTTTTGGCTCGGAGTTTAAGATATTTATCGAATTTCGGTGGTGATGGATAAGGAGAACCAACAGATGGGCGTTTCACCACTCACAGCCGTTTCTGTCTCAGGTGATGCTTCAACACCTTTTTGAACAACGGGAATGTCAGCGCCAGCATCGGCATGATAGACATCACAACGCTCAGCCTCTGCAGCAAGCATATTGATGAATCTTTGCTGGTTCTCTTTGATTGCAAGAAAAATGTCTTTTATCAGTGTCAGTGGCATATTTTTCTTGGAACTTCACAGTTGTTTCCAATTACAGACCTACTCTTCGTTGATGTGTCATTTTTTTCGTGAGATTTTTGAAAGCCATGTTCCACACATTCACTTCATGATTAAAGGACTCTCATGTTGTCTTAGGACATTGTTATACAGCATAGTTCGTTTAGCAAGAGAAACTTTGATTTGTGTTGCAATTAGTTTGAGGTTCAACTATTTTTAACGTAATTGACTGGACTAATGAGGGAGAACTGAGACGAGAGAAGCCAGGACTAATTCTTAATCTATGCTCTTGTGGGAAGGATTATTTACCAAGTATTACCAAGTGAAACAATGTACATTATAATTTAAAAATGGAAATTAGGAAAGAAAAATCTAGGATCATTATCTTCATTGTCATAGTTGACGGTTGAATTTGTCCTACAATCATCGTTTTATTCTGAATATTATTTATTTATTTGTTTATCTGTTTATTCATCTATCTATTTTTTTTGCATATTACCAATTACTTTCTATCATCTATTACCAACTATTACCAACTTACCCTTTCTAAATTACCCTTATTTTGATGTCGACTTTTACTCTAGCTCTTAGGCCATGTCGAAGTTGAATTGAATACACACCTCGAAGTATATTACACCCGACAGAACAGACTCACCCCTGAGTACTCGGGTATCCTCAGGACCGCCAAGTCCAGGATGCTCATGAGGGCCTTCCCGAGGAGCGCCACGAGGAAGTTGAGGTGGAGGTAAAATCTCTGCACGCGGAGGGCTCTGCGGGGAGAGAGGAGGGAGGAGGGAGTGAAAATAAGGGAGAGGGTGACACAGGAGGGAGGGAGGGAGTGAAAATAGGAGAAAGAGTGACACAGAAGGGAGGGAGGGAGTGAAAATAGGGAAGAGGATAACACAGGAGGGAGGGAGGGAGGGAGGGAGTGAAGATAGGAGAGAGGGTGACAAAGGAGGGAGGGAGGGAGTGAAAATAGGAGAAAGAGTGACACAGAAGGGAGGGAGGGAGTGAAAATAGGGGAGAGGGTGATACAGGAGGGAGGGAGGGAGTGAAAATAAGGAAGAAGATGACGTGGGAAGGAAGAAGTTGAAATAGGAATAAGGAAGAGGGTGAAAGAAGAGGAAAATGAAAGTAAGGGAGAAAATGGCGAAGAGGGAAGAAGGATGAAAAGGGTAACGAAGATGGGAGATAGGAGGGGAGGCTTAGGTAGAAAACTCAGTGAAATGAAGGCTGGCGAGAGATAAAGTAAAGTGAAAATAAGGGAAAACGTGACGAAGGAGATTGAAGTGAAGGTAAGGCAGAAGGTAACGAAATAGTGAGGAATATTGAGGTGAAAATTGACAAAAAGAAAAGGAGGGCGAAAAGAGGGAAGGAAATCAAAGTGAAAATAAGAGAGAGGATGATGACCGAAGGCAGCGAAGTTTAAATGCAAACAAGAGGAAACAACTCCTCTTCAAATCAGGTGATTCTTAAATCTTGCCTCAAACATACAAACCGCGACACCTCTTCTCTATCAACCACCACCACACACGAACGAACGCCGTGCTTTCGTCCCAACCTGAAGTAGAGAATCATGCAGATGGCAGGCACGACGGCGGCGACCGACACGGCGTGCATGGCGATCTCCCAGGCGTAGTTCCGGAGGTGGTACTTGCGGTGGCTGCAGTCGGCGTACTCGGTCTTCTCGGTCCCACGCGCGTTCTGCAGCCACGACCCGTTCCCCCAGCAGGTCTTGGTTCCCTCCACTGCGGGCGACAGGCAGAGTGAGGAGGGAGGGAGGCAGGGAGGGAGGGAGGTAGAGGTGAAGAGGTAGGGAGAAGAGAGAAAGAGAAATCAATGGAGAAATGAAAAATATGATTACTCTAGATCATCGGATCCCAACCTGGGGGTCATGGAGCAAAAGGAAAATATTGACGTCGAATTAAACTGAATTTTATCACACCTACAATACCTACATATAATCATCTCTCACATGTGAATAAATGTGAAGCTA